TTCGTTCCCTCTCGTCTCGTACTCGCATATATATTTTTTTGATTTTTTTCCCTTCTTTTTCCAACTTTTCCGTTCTCTTAGCCTGTTTCTTCCATTTTTAAAGCCATACACCCGTCAATGGCTCGTTCTTATCGTCTCTTCTTTTCCCGTTTCACCCATAGGTGTGTTTAAAAAGCTAGTTTTTAAACGAACATGCATATATCGTACGTGTAAACAGATTCATAAAACAAATGCTGCGGAATAATGTTGGAGAGAGATCCCGTTTCCCACAAACCATCTCTCCCCCTTTCACCGCGAGTCGTTTATTCAGAGCAGATAAAAAATTTTCAACAGCAGATAAAATATTGTTATAGAAAGCAAAGGAAATCTGATCATTTAAATTTAAATGTGTATCTAATATAAAAATGTTTTCTGAAGTTATAATTTTTTATTTATTTTATAGGACATTTAATTTATATATTAATTTATTTTATTATCATAAATGATAATCATATTAAGATATAAATATATATATTTACAAATTTTTATATTTGAAATATTTGTCAAAAATAAACTATATAAATAAATCAGCGATATATTTATCGCTGATTAATGAATATCAGCATTTTGTGAATATCGCACATTAATGAATATCATTTGTGATAATTAATTTAATTGCGTTGCATGAGTCGTGCATCTTCTTTAATTAAAAACAGCTGTTGTCACGCGCGTGATATTATTAAAAATTTGATAAAGAAACGTGCCATTTCACGGATTCATGATGCAAGTACTTTTAGAAGATACCACCTGTCGAGGAAAGATATTTTAGCTAGTGCGAAGAAACGGATAGCAGAATACTCGAATGTCACACCGGATTCCAACACGTCTACGTCTAACAGCGCGCGAGATATACGCCGGAAATGGGTATCGACAGAAATGCAGGCGCATCGTCCGAATATGCAGTAAAATATGCGACAGTGTAGAAACTTTTGTAAGGAGACTGGAGAGACGCGAAGAATTCATCGAATATAGAGGACAATCGGACGCAAAAGTCGCGCACTTTTCGTATGAAACTTAAAGCAGGCTCGTTTCCAGAATTTAATTGCAAATCCGTTTTTTGGATAATTAAATATTTTCGTTGGGTATTCGGACAATTAAACCTCGATTAAAAATCCAATCTAATTCCCGAAGCCGCTCGAAATTAAATCAGGAAAATATCGTCAGCCACGCATCTTTAAAGTTTAATTTCCCAAAATTCCTCAACCTTTAGGGAAAATTTACTTTAATAAATTTAATAAAATATATATATAATATATAAAAAATATATACATATATAATGTTATATTTCCTCTACTTTCAACGACGTAACCAGCGTCCAACTTCCGATATACGAGTCGTCGCGAATAAAATTCCTCTCGCTTCCAATAAAACGGAGGAATTCACGGCGAGATATTTCGCGCGACGAGAGTTAAAACTGCCGAGTTCGACGCGAGAGAATCGGACGACGAGTTGCTGCATAAGGGGACAAGGAGCTCGTTCCTGGTATTTTACTGGCCGAGCGAATAAAATTCCGTCGGTTGCCGCTAATCCTCGGAAATATCGAAACGAGGTTTCACGCAGACTTTGGAGAGAAACTATTCGATTCGCCGAAAATCAAAGCAAACCGAAATGTCTCCGGAACGGAACGAAATGTTGACGAGAGATAAAGAAACACGTTGCTTTACTTTACGAAGGATCGCAAAGTACCTAAAATATATCGTCAGCTGGCTGCGATTTTTCACAAAGTTTCCGTAAGTGTTATTTGTTGTATCGCGAGAGAAAAAGTGTCTCGAGTCGAGGAAATTCAAGAATCAATTTCAAGAAAATGAGATTGTAAAATTTATATACTCCTATTAATATATGTTTTATATAGTGCGATAATATAAATTATTATTTTATCAATACTTGTGCAAAACAATAAAATCGAGAGATGAAATATTTTACTGATTTATTAATTCTAATTTTTATAGATTCCATTCGAGATGCATACGAATCTTTTCTTCGATCGTAATATTTTTTTAAATTTAAATAAAAGCCGATAAAAAATATGTCGGAAATCAATGACTATGATTTCGAGATATATGTTGTAGCATTTACAGGTAATATAATCAAGAATCGCTACTGTTAATCATTTTTATTATCTATTATACGAATAGGTATTGATTGTACGAGTATCAAGTTCACCGATGAAAAATATTTCAGTTCTCGTTATGTTCAGAATGCAATTATCTCTCGCAATTAATTCCGCAAAATAAGGCTTAATATTTTACATAATGGATGCGTTATATCTTTGTTGGATTTACCCACTATGTAAGCATTACATCATAGAATTCAATGCGAAAATAGATGCATATATGACCAGCGCGGAATGCGTAATAATTCTTCCTGGAAAACAATCCTTTACACGATAATGTATAGAGTACATTGCGTAGAGCACGAACCGTAACCGCGGACAAAGTGACTTGTATCGATAAAAAATAAAGCGACTTGTATTGATAAAAAATAAAACGAAATCGAAGACTTTTAGAATCGCTCGTGTTTTAGTCGCTCGATTTTGCAGGCGATCGGATTTAAAAGACCGTAGCCGACATATTTTTTCAAACGCGCATATTTTTATATCTAATAAAATGTAAAAAAATTTAAAACATCAGAAAATGAAAGCTGTTTTGTTGAATTAAATTTATAAATACGATTAAAGAGAAAATCGTGGCGATTATTTTTACTCTTCACAAAATGTGCTCCGATTTAATGATTTAAAATTATATCGCATTTTTCGAGGATTTTTCGCATTTTAAAATACGGATAAAAGATTTAGTCATATAAAATAATTCTTTTCCATTCTTCGCAAAATAAATGTAATCTCATAATTAATGTAATCTTTAAACAAATGCACGATTCTTAGCTTTTTCTTGTATGTTGCGCATAATGTTTCAACCGAGTCGATTCGATAATCAACATCTTACGACCACGAACAAGAAGAAACCTTTACGACCTTGAAACGGGACAGATGATAAAACGTTAGTTCGCTCCACTTTTCGTCCAAGACACGCGACCATTAACTAAACCGAAAGGTTGGGCCTGAAACTTTCTAGCTGCAGCATGCGAATGAAACGATAAAAAGAATCCATCGAGAATAAATCGATAAAGCCTCGTAACTTTTCGCGTAAACATTAAGCGAAAGCGAACAAGAAAGCTGAGAAAGCTTGACGTATGCAAAATTGGAATTTTATCTCGGAATTTTATCTCGAAAAATTGCATATATTATTAATATTTTTAATCTTAATTAAACTCGTAAGAAGCTAAATTTAAAGTTTCTAAATCTGGCAATTAAAAAAATATTACTTGCTCAATTAAATACTCATAACACTATCTTTAAATTAATCGAATATATATATATCGAATTTAATATAGGAATTTAATATCATCCATCAGTGTTATTAATGGAAATTTTTGAAAAAATCTTGCGATCGTTTCGCGTCAAGGATTAATAATTTAGAAACGTATTTATCATAGCTCTCAAATTATTATCATGTTTAATACATCGAGTATTATATGAAATTAAAATTTTGTTGTCAACGGCTTGTCCCTTGAAATTTCCGGCAATTTCTGAGATTTCGTTCGCGTAAAAGTGACGATAGTTTGCTATTCTGCTTAACGAGACTTTGCTGATGCAGTTTATACATTTTTGATGAGGCGAATAGACAACATAAAGTTCGCGTGTTGCAATCAGCAACTTTGGTAACAACTCTGAGGAGGAAGAGAAAGAAGCCACCGGAAGGAAGTGCGAAACAAACTTTTTAGCATCATTGATTCGAGATAAAATGACGAGATTTATGCATAAATCATATATTTTCGTGACATGAATTTTCTTAACTATGCAACACTCGTTTCGCACGTATTTTTGTCACTGACGAATTAAAAAAATGCTATTAATGAATAAATACGACGCTAACATATTTGAATTAATAAATGTTAAACAAAGAAAAATAAACGAAAAATACTTTTGTTCGCAAATTTTTTGTTTCCTATTTACAAGGCAAACAAGATTGAAATAAATCCAGTAGTTTGCTCGACTCGATTCTTTATAAAGGTCAAGGTGATATTTAGAATGGATCGTGACATTTACAGAAATATTCGAGAATACATGCAAAACGATTGTTTTTTAATGACACAAATTATTAAAACAGAGGACTTGACATTAAAAGGCTGTAATCGTTATTGGTATGTAATCGTATTATTTTGGAAAATTCCTTGAAATCTTTATTTTGAAAAAAAAACAACGTTAAAATTAAAACAACAGCAAGAAATAGATAGCAGAAATAAAATTATTATCGACATATAAATATATAAAATTGTTTATGACGTTAAATTATTTAAAATTATTTATGATATATGTATAAGACAAATGTTTTTCAAGTTAAATAAATATCATTTCAAAATAGTTACATGTTCGGAGGTTATTTGACTTTTTAAATTTTGCATTTCGGTAATATTAAGCGAAAATATTTGGAGAGACAACAGCTTACTTATTTATTTTTTAAATCTTCGACTTTAAAATTATCCAATATTGAATTTATCACGCCAATATGTATTACGCAAATCACTCAAAATTATCACGAATATTATGAGCATTAATATTTAATATGCCAATTAACTGTATATAATATTAGTATAATACATAGAAATAACTATCTGATATATTCCAATATTATATATATAATTACGAAATTAATAATTTAAATAGGCAGTCGAATTCGGTCACATTAACATATAACGGTATCATTTTGAATTTGCAACTCTAGAACAACGCCGTAATGTTATTTGCGTATTACGAGATTAGCGCGCGCATCCGGAAATAGTATAAATTTTACATTTCATATCGTGCGAATATTCGAGGAAATATCGCATATTCGAGAGAGAATTAGCTCTCGCTTTTCACGATTACAGCCCTTTTGCGTCGCGACCGTTATTTTTCTACTCACTGGTCGCCATGGCAACTCGTCAAGTGTCCACAGGTGTCCGCGAAATCCTCAAGGAGCACGTACGACGATCGCCGAGGCCCGGCTGGATGTATGTCCCATGGCACTGAATCACTCGCGAGCACGAAGTCCTCGATATTCACTCCGCGAGATTCGATCAATTACGAGACGCGGTTTACCTTTCCGGGCAAGAAAATGCGACACTCGCGGTCCAACGACTCGTCGCGGTATGAAGGTCGTCCGGAACGAGAGAGGGAGCGGCGAGTCGAAATTTTTGCGCGCGTCACGCGACGCCTACCCCCACTCCGCTGATTGCTTGCCTCCTTCTCCCCCGCGTGAGCTCCACACTTCGCGTCGCGCCTCACTTCGCGTTGCGTCTCGCGAGTCGAAATCAAAGTGGAGATTTATTTCTCTTCTCTCTCTCTCTCTATTTCTCTCTCTCTCGTTTCTCGGGATCGAAAACTCGCGGATGTATCGTCGATTTTTCCCTGCCCGACGATTCCTTCGCGCACAAGTGACGCGAGCGAGTGTTTCTATTCTCGACGCATTCGCGGAAACAATGGGAATATTCAACGTCTTACGCGAAATATCCTCACTCGCGCGCGAATGTCCTTAGAGAGACGAAATCGGAGTTATTAAAGACACGCACTCGCGGATTCCGCGCAACGTTCGCGAAGATTCGAGACTGCACGAAAGGCGCGCGTCCTTCTTGAAATTCGCCAAAGTCAAGTACGTCACGTGACGCATGTGTGGCAACTGCAGGCAACCGTTTGAAGTTTGCAACTCACCAGATTCGTTGAGATGCGAAAGTGCAACGTCGCGTCTCGCGAAAGTGTCTGTCGCTCATCCCGATCGTTGATCGAGCGGATTAATTCGCCGGGGACGTCGTTTCGCGCTTACGTCTCACACCGCGATGGAATTCCGAGTGCGCGGGGGAAGGGACGACAACAACAACGCGACGCGGTAACCTTGTCGAGAAGGCCGAGGGACAACGAAGCGAAGTACGCGTGTACATCGCGTATTATCTACGTGTGACAGAGAGAGAGAGAGAGCTTCCGCCACGCGCGACTACCATACGATAACGTCGCCGAAGGACGGGAAGCGGAGTCTCCGTTCCTGCGCTGCTCCTGCACCCCTCTCCCTCATCCTCTCGCTCCGTCTCTCTCTGGCAAGTGCACGCGTGATTCGCGTCGATCGGAGTCGCGTCTCGTGCTCCGTTTATGCGCCGATGGGATGTCCTGACATGTCGAGAGGATGCGACGAGTGACGTCGAGCGCGCGAGACATCGAACGACGCCACGACCTCCGCAATCCGCGGAAGGACTGTCGTCCGACCGCGTTCATCCGTGCCCCACCATCCGACGACGCAAGGTGGAGCGAGAGCGAGACAGAAACGCGAGGGGGAGAAGGAGTCCGGCTGACGAAGAAGGGATTCGAGCGAGGATCGACGGAGGGAGAGAGAGCAAGCCCCGAAGACCTTGCGACGAGACTTCCCTGCATGCGATGGACAGAGATGGAGAAACGGCGCCAAGGCCCGCGAGAGGGATGCTTCGCAGGACCGTAGGCAGCCGCCGCAGACGCCTCTGACGTTTCGCCCCGCCGGTAAGTAGAATTTCTCTCTTACCACTGACCGGCGCGCCGGGGATGTCCTCCTCAGCACGCGTCAATCTTTTTTTTAATGACAGATAAATACGAAATGTGTATATTTTGTGTAATATATGTATCTAATGATATTTCTTCATTCCGAGATATCATAAGCATTATCGGACACGATTCTGTACAAACGTGTCGTAAAATATGACATTTTCAATATTTTCTTCTTTTGCAAATGTCGCAAAAAATTATTTAAAAATATTAATTAAATTTGTACTCGTCGAATTATTAATTTGTGTGTTCGATACATATTCTTATGCGTATTTCTTATATATATATTTTTTTTTTTATATCCTTTATACATTTTTCTTATATTTAATTCTTTGCGGAAAATCTTGTAAATATTTTCGTTACAATCCCTCGAATTAATTTGATGTATCACGGTATAATTTGACACGATTATTCGACTCTTCTAAGGACTCCCGTTGTTAGGACGGACCTGTTGTCGGATAGGTTAGTTCGCGGGAGCGGGGAAGAGCGGGGCTGAAATATCGAGGAACGGGGAAGGGACGGACCATCGAGTCGAACGACTAGTCGAGTTTGCGCACTGGACAAAGTATATAACCGGAATATACAAATTTGTTTTTTTTCCCAGACCGACACACACGTACACATCCGCGACCGCGGTAGGCCGCCTTTTAAAATCCAACCGCGATTTGTCCTTGGGACGGAAAATCAAATCGACACCGCACGACATTCGAACGATGTTTTTCCTTTCGCGGCCAGCCACTCTGCACGCGATCGTTTCCGGTGGTTAACCCTCGTGATCTCTGTCCGTATTGATCCTCCACTGAACTCTCTAGATTTCATTTCTAATAAAAGCTTTCGGGAAATAAGTTCGCGTAATAAATCTTACTTGAGAAATATGTCAGAGTTTCCTTGATTATTCGTTGATTGATCTTTAGGAAATCAGGATTGAAGAAGAAAATGCCGCGAATCTTTATTTTAGGAGGAAGTTTCCTGATTTACTTCCTGTTTCAAAGTAAAATATTATTTTAAGAATATTGTTTTATTTATTCGCAGAGAGAAAAGATTGCAATTTTTATGCAATTAGTTCGCAGAGAGAAGAGACTGCAATTTTTAAGACAGCAATTTTGCTTATTCTATTTTTAAAAAGTCATTTATAATGTTACACGAAAAGTTGACTTCGAAAAGTTGTCTCATAATGCTTTAGTGAAAATGTAAAATTGTATTTGTCAAATTTCAAGTGACGATTTAACACATGATTAATTGAAATATTTAAAAGAATCTTTATACAAAAAATGTGCGACGTAATGTATAGCACAATTAGCTTTTTAACATTGGAATTTTTGCTCAAAATTTTTTGTAAACATAATTTTTCTCATTTATTGATCGGGTTTTATCGCAAAATATAAATATATATATTTTATTCTTTTATCATGTGTGTTTCGTCGAATTCTGAATGAAGAAATATCATAAATGTTATCACATCTTTCTTTTCCTAATCAAAGATACAACGAATATAATATAAAACGATTTCGTAGAGTAAGATAATTCTCTTAATCATGTAAATTTAATCTCCAAGAGATGGCGATCCCAGGCACGTGCAGCATTCTTTGCATGCGCTCTTAAAGTTCGTATACACTCGCACAATTATGAAACTGCATTACTCAGGAAAAGTGGAACAAGTAAACGGATTAAAGGAATGTAATGTGCACGCCGCCCGAGGCTGCTGCCTGGCTTTACAACAAAGTTTACGAGAACATTGATGAGTTTATTCGATCATATATTCGCACGGATATTCGCTTTTATTTTGCTAATTATGGAGACAAGTAATTGAGATATATATTCCTGTTCTTCTCTACGAAATTGTTGCGATATTATTTATATATTTTTATTATGCGTATAATATTATACGTATCGTTATTAGATGAAATAAAGCAAAGAAGTTTCCGATAGTCTTGTAACAAAGTTTGCAAAGTTGATGAAATATAAAAGTAATTGCGAAAAATGTAAATTATATTCTCTAGCAAACTTATTTCAGATTTTTTCGAGAGAGAAGATTAATTAGAAAGATAATAAATTTTAACTAAAGAATATATCTCTCTAGCGAACGAAACAAGACTTTAATGAGACTCAAAGATCCTTAGGATTAAGTTAAACGAAAATCATGATTGAAGACTTGAATTATTGCGGAATATGTTCCTTTTACAAGTGTATCTAAAAAATTATTATTTCTTTATTGTATATATTAATTAGCGTTTTTACATTTTTATTAATAATTTTTTTTAATTATTAATTTTTTAAAAACTTTGCTCCTAAAAAGGAATTTTATTTAATTTAAAAATATATAATAGCCAAGATTGTGTTTGTAATAAACTTTGGGAAGAAAGAGAGAGATGTAATATCGAAAAATTTTTCTTACGTAAGATTTTTTCTCGTTTTACTTTCGAAATAATTTTTTTCTCTTACGTACATTATCTCCTCCCCGCAACAATTAATGCAACTTTTTATTTCTATACGGATTACAAAGTTTTAAATTGGATAATTACGAGATATTGCGGTAGAAGGCGGAACAACGGCGGTTTATTCGAGCTATAGATTTATAGATCGCAAACATTTTGCAATGCACCGATAAGTAGTAATTTATTCGTATATTAGGCTACAGTAACGCGTAAGAGACGTGAAACTTTGCCTATAGTTAATCGAATCAACCAATCTCGAGTTGCCGCGCAACTCGAGACGCCGAACCATGCTTTAATTAGCACCCAACCTCGACCGCTTAATTCACTCGCAGTTTGACCTTGAAAGTCTCTCCGCTTCTGCCGGATATCCTTGTTCTCGCGTCTCGACGATGCAATTTTCATTAATTTTTAAAAGAGAGATATCTGCCTGATTCTTTCTCCCTTTGCCAAATTCCACTGCTTTTGATTACGAGAGACGCGCGAACACGAAAAGTACGGGCCAAACTTGGACGGCGATGTAAAAATTTATTCACGCTCGCCGTACTTATTTCGCCCTTATCTGGACGTCGACATGGCGGGATAAGTGCCGAGGAATAAAAAGAAAGGAATAAAGGAGAAATAAAAAGAGGAAAGAAAAAGAGAGACGCGCCGGGCGGAAACGGCGACGGTGGCACGAAAACGTAAAGTAAAGAGAACTGGAGGGAGGGGAAGAGACAGACGAGAACGGAGAGGAAGGGGGATGGAAGTTGGGGAAAACCCGGCGAGCATTAAGACCAGATTGAAAATTGAATTATTAACGAGCGACCTACCGCCCGGCATGTAAATCATACGGAAATATTACTTTTCTTTTCCGTAAAGGAAAAATGTGTCCCGAACGCGCGCGAGACGTCGTAGTAGGGACATTCGGATGTAGTTTTGCTTGCCTTCTTTCCTCTTCTCCTTCGCGTTCGGTCTTGAATTCTTTTATCGCGTTTTACATCTTTTTTCCCTAGACGGCTCTTCCATTTTTGCTTAAGCGAACCCCCGTTCTTGTCTAATTTTGCATTACGTCACGAGTTATCGTTCTCGCGGGACCCACTCGCACAAAATGCGGCATTACACATAAGGTAATTGCTTATTGCTATATTTGTAATTGCATTTATCGGTGTCTTTCATCGACGATTAAAATACGAAATATAACATTTTAATTCGTCTAAAGAAGTCAAATTTCTAGTAAAATAAAATTATATAAAATTAAATAATTTATGTTAAAGAAGAAATAATTAACCGAGGAAGAATTTGTTGTTTTGCACTTTTCAAGCTTAATTTTTAAATTCTTTATTATCTTAATTTTATTCACAATCAGAAATATAATGTGAGAATATCGTTACGAATAAACTCGAATGGACACCCTGTATATTTAGATAGGGGATACCAGCTTTTTGTTTTACGTTCACTCACCTGGGACAGCTAATATACCGCGTTCAATTGAATACGAAATATTCGTCAACGCCGCGATATTTTTATAAAACGTCATCGGGCACGGTCGTAACTTTTTTCCGCGTCTTGGGATAATTCTCGCGAAAATTTCTCGAGCATTGTTAGAGAATACATTGCGAAAATGCAACGGCATATCCCGGTTTCCAATATCCGCGAAGAAAAGGACGGGGGAAGGGAGTGGGGAGAGAGGAAGGCACCTGACAGATGCGCCTGTACTGCAGCAAACCCCGAGTACGAACCAGTCACGAACGGTTGCCGCGCCAGGCGACACGTTGCAAACGCAGAACGTGGTGAATGGGAGAGAGTTGGAAAGTTATTCGGGACGCGTCACCATTACCACCGTGGTAACACACCCCTTTTTGCGCCCAAATCAATTTCTTCTACAAGACTCGACTCACTTCTTTTTCTAATTCGTAGTATTCGTAGCGACTTCACCCGGTTGACCCACTCCAGAGCTTCTTCGAAAAGAAATAATAGCCGCGAAAAGTATAATTTGCGCATTCTTCTTACCTTCGCGTCATCATTTTTATCTTGTTGCTTTAAAAATGTCCCAAATGATAAATGCGCGCAAAAATAAACGGCGGAGAAAAAGAATAAATGATGTATAACGAATTTACGCTCATGTAATATTTACGAAAAAAATCTCATTTTTACTTGTCTATTGAGATGCGTGAATTTGTATACAGCTACGGTGGCTTGTTGCAGGTTATAAAAATAGACACGAAAATGTATATTATTGCAAGAGGAACAAAAGAATATTATAAATATTCTACATTCTTGTTACAATTTCCGCAATACCGCTGCAATATGTCACAGTCAAAGGCCGGTATTAATGATCACACGCGTATTCAGAGACAATTATAATTTGTTAGGCGACTATAATTTAAACGTGACATTACAAATATTGCGCACGTCCAAATAGTCGTGCAATCGATGGCCGATTAACGACGTAGCGATTAAAATGTACGAAAAGAGACATGACGCTGTTTTAGTCTCTGTCATATTTTTTTTTTTATCGTTTCGGACAAATTGATGAAGTGTTTGTATCCTGACGCGATCGGGACTGGCAGCGTAGATTCGCGAACGAGTTACAAAATTTTGACGGCAGACAGCCTGCGGCAAAGGGGAAAATCAAAAAGTTACACTTTTTACGCACGTCATATTTTTTTCGATGACACTCGCTCAATCCTTCTCAATCAAAGTTATTTTTATTTACGCGTTTTCATTTATCGCGCTACGCGAGCATAAAACTCAATTAAAATGCGCATGCGAAGATTATTAATATTTCCTAAAAAATCTGTTATAAAACAGCAGGATATCGACCAGCTTATATATCTTTGCTAAAAGTAAAACAGAATAAATAATTGAAATGATAAAATTGGGAAGAGAAATTTGTTACAGATATAAAAGGTATCCTCCATAAATGCAACATCTTTTATTACAATATTCATCGTAGAAATTTTTTTTTCACATACATGCAATTATTGATTATTCTATCATTTATACTTATCGCGTGCACAAATTAACATTAGAACTTAACTAAAAGTTTAATCTTCTTTTAATTAAATATCGATCAAGTTGTATATTTAAAAAGTAGAAACTTAAAAAATAAAATGCAATACACTAATTCTTCAAAAATATTCTTTCGAATTGTCCTTTATGTTAAGCAGACAATTCGTCCTGCAGGATACGTAGGATAATACGAATGGACAGATAATTAATGAGATTATGTCATTTTATATTTACACATATATATTTGTGCGTCTGTTGATAAAATTTATAAATAGTAAAACGTTACTTGTTTAAAAATGCTTGAAAGCTGCCCCTCATCATCTGGAAAGTGTCATCTTTTTTTCCAGCGAACAAAATGCTTTTCCTACTATAGCGATAGCTTGCAGCAAGCGTATATGACTATAGAAATAACGATAGTGTATGCATTCATGTAACAAAAATAGGTACGTAAAGAGTCATCGGTCGCGACTCTTTTGCCGTTCGCGAATTGACATTTTCGCTTGCGGCGATCGAACGACTAACAAACGCGAATACGAAACAGTCCGCTCTGTCTAAACGAACGGATAACATCAAGTAAAGTTCATCAAGCAATATCGCACAAGAGTATTATAACGTATATCGGATTACGATAACTATAATATATTAAACATGCCACAGAAGGTACGAATCAAAGAGAATAAAAATATGGCACTATAGATTTCAAATTTCGTGAAATTTGATTTATTTTACATTTTATTATCAAATTAAAAATAAAAGAATTAATTTCAAAATTGAAATATCTTTTCTTTTGCAATTAGATGTACATTTTTCAAAATGCTTATTCCCCACATTCCTATTCTCATCGAATCATAAATTTATACTTATATCTCTAATAGTACGTACAGTAGATGAAGAAAAAAAAAATATATATATATATATATAAACTTGTAGAGAGATGATTGAGGTATTTTATAGCGAATGTACTATATTACAGAGAGAAAGTGGCACACAACGGTTTATTCGAAATTAATTTTACATTTCATTTGACGTTTAATGACAAGATTACGAGTCTCTCGACGATTGTGACGATCGAGATGCTTTTGCGCGTGAGTTTTATCAGGATAATCTTTCATTAAACATGGGCAAGCATTTAATTAGATATTTAAATTCGATAAAAGAACCCGAGAGTTTGATTTATCGATTGCAATTTAAACTGGGTCATTGAAAAAAGATAACAATGATGATAAAACACAATCGCGTTTGTAAAATTAACATAAAAACGGCGTGATTTGCGGTTTCACGAGGATACGCACGTGATGATGGCTACGTCATTTTATGTTGACGATGATCCTGAGGAGATTCCGAGTACAATATCTTCCGATTGAAGCTCCTTTCATGATTCTGACTATTTGAATCCGTGCGTTTTGGAGTACCTGTCTTCATCAAGAGAAATTTTTGAAATTTTTCTTCGTGTTGAGAAAATGTTGACCGAGTTTCAGCTTCTTTTTACCGCCTGTTACTTTGATTATGTCCGTTTCGCCACCGAAATTAGGACTGCTGCAAGAGGAATGCGGAATCGTCAATTAATTTCGACCTGTATTTTAAACCGCGGTTGCAACTGAATCGAAAATCACGAATCACGGAAATATATTTTACGCTTGAAAATACCGCGGGAAAATGAGGATGTTTGAGGATCGCTAATAATCATAGGATTGGCTAAATAACGGGTATCCACCACGCGCAGTGTTGCGGTTAATAAATAGCGGTCTAACAATTAATATTGACCGAACATAATCTAGCGTTATATTTTACTAAACGATTGAAAATTATTTCTTGCTGCTCGAAAGTTTATAATTAGGATAGTATTTTCAGTTGCAACGTAATTAAAATTAATTTTCTCTGACATCTCACAAAATCTCTCAGATAAAAATCAGGAGAATATTTCATAACGTGCGGTATTTAACGAAGAAGACGGCAACCTTTTAAATGCTGCGAAAAACGCAAAGATACACGCAGACTTTTAAGAATTGTTTTAATATTCTCGCACCATGCTTTTGTCGTAATAGTTAAAGTACGCTTTTACGCGTCCAAATTAGGTCGTTTTTGTTGAGAGGGCTTTCAAGCGATTGTGTTCGCATGCGAGTAAAATCGCAATCCTACGATGAAATAAGGAGGGATATGTACAGAATAAAATACAATATCGTTGAGACGGACCCCACTCTATTTCTTATCTACTTTAAAGCTCGCGACAATCGGGGTAAACCGACGATGTTAAATCCAGCTCTCCAGTAACGTCCCGTAAAACCAGTTTTACTGAACTTCCTTGCCTACCTAGCGATTTATCGTCGACCTTTACGGTTGGCTCTTACAAGATAATCCGCGTCATGCGAAGCGCCCTGATGCATAGCGGCTATGGCGTTTACATGATAAAATCACGTGAATCTCGTCTCTCTCGTATTTTAAAGAGCCGTTAAAAGTCGCATGAAGATGGCTGTTAATTTCGCCGAAACGTCGTTAACGAGAATTATTGCTGGAACGAGAGGTAATTTCTCTTACGTGAGATATTCGCACGCATTTCGAAATTTTCATCGTTGTGTTAAACTAAATATAAAAAACAAAATTCAGCTGTTGATGTTTGTTAGCTTAATTTTTTTCGATGCTGAAAAAAAATGCCGAAAAGTAGTAACTTATGTAAATTATTATTTCTATCGTCGCGAATAAATTATATTTGAAGGATTATAATATTTAACTAATTGTAGACAAGTGGAAATATAATATTTTATATTAAAATAAATTTTTTAATTACAACAGTTGATAACTGTGTAAATATGCGCAAATAATTTCTGATGCGATAAAAAGGACACAACTGTAATATTAATAATAACGGATGCAATTTAACGAATTATTTACTTCTTTGTAATATTTGTCATTAATAATAAATATTTTCGTGTATTTTAACATATTACAATACATTTAATGAAATATCTCTTTGAATTTTATTTGAATTAACTTACAAAGTACTTTTTGATTGACTCTTGCAAAAATAATTTAATTACATGTGACATTTTAATAATACAGTTATTGCGCGCTTTCTCATTTGCACAATTTATGGCACGATTTAATTACTTTACAATAGAAGACAAAATTATGTCGATAATATAACATGTTGTCTTAAGTTTTCCTCCTTATTAACCATTCAATTATCTCACCTCGGTTTTGTGGATGTCCACGCTGTTGAGCGCAACCGCTTCGGCGGTGGGCTCTTCATCATCGGGAATTTTTTCGGGAACGCCAAAGATAGTTCTGTATGCGAACGAGGCGATTAGGGCTCCGCCGATCGGTCCGAACCAGTAGAGCCACTGATGCGTCCATTCATTATTCCACATCGCGGGCGCGAACGATCTTACCGGGTTCATGCTGGCACCGGTATAGGGCCCGGTTGCGGTCGCCAACACGGTCACCGTAAGACCGAACTTGATCGGTATCGAATCCGTGTTCCTCTCGTTTCTCGGGTCTGTCACGGAGCAGAATACCAGCATCAGAATGCCGGTGGCGATTCCTTCGAGGAGCAGACCCTGCATCGCGGACACTTCGGTGTGCAGATCGGTCACGCAAAACAGATTCGACTGTTCGACTGTACCGGACGTTAAACGATTCCCCGGGGTTACCACCTGGAAAGAACATTGAAATCAATCGAGGCTTTAATTATTTAATAGATGTAAATTATTTAATTATTTAATAGATGTAAATTTAATAGATGTAAATTTTTCTTTTTGAAACGTGATTAATATTGTCGCGTTTCGACAATTTTTCTCTTTAGTTTATTGTTAAACTAAATAAAGGATTTTATTACGGAAAATAAAACGGAATTAAATTTTATTATGGAGAAAAAATAAAAGCTGCTGCATTAACAGACGTCTGTTGTTGTATTTATGTTATTTTACTAAAAATGCGCGCATAATTAAAATAAAATTGAATATTATTTATAAAAATATTTGTGTTCGTATAATATGAATTTTATACAATTATTAAATTTTATAAATTGCAGATTATGCGATTAAATAACTGTCATAACAAAAAAGATATTTACGCACGCTTTAAAAATATGAAATATGTACAAAGTATTATTTATGCAATATTCTTTTGCTTTATACCATTATATTAAAACAGTTTTGCTCTTGTCTCTTACCGGAATTATTAGTTTCTTTTATAGGACGTAGCATAATGAATATCGAGTTTCGTTCTGTTTTTCGCGATCGATGAACCCTGAAGAATACATCTTTCATTTATAGAAAAGGATGCAATTATTATTATTATTTATTTTGCTCGCTTTATCTGGGTTACCACGTCGACATGTCGCTATGAAAGACGCAGAGATACCGCAACAGTAAAGCTTTTTTCTGATTACGAAAGCATGAAATATTAATCGTGTAACACGTGTACTGAATTACTGATTAAACAAAGGTTATGACCCCCGCGTTTCGCTGCGCGTTGATAGAAACCAGCCGGAAAGATTTCTCGATTTATTTCTGTCTCACTCTATAACTCCATAAATATCGTCAATCTGTTGTTGCTCAATAATCGTTCATTAAGATACGATGATTCGAAGCGAAATGTCTTAATTGGCTCTTTAATGAAACTCACACATATTTGTGTCGTTCCAGCGATATATATGTAGCTCAAATTGTGACGACAAATATGTCGAAGGTCGCTATGTATGTGTCTCAACAAAACTAGAAAGTATCTCTCTATCATTTCTATATTTATACATAACGATGTTTCGTTCGCTCAGTTAACTCAGTTCATTATATACGTAATATTTAATCATTGCAATATTCTATTAATTTTGTTCGTAAATGAAACATTAAACCGCTTAACGTAAGGAATATTATAAACAATAATATATATCTATGACATAATTAGATATACATATTTACGAAATAACAATTTTATTAAATTTCGCGTAATTTTTTTATGACGATTATCAATACACAAACCAATACATTTATTCTTTTTTGTTTGCCTGTAGTTAAATGCAATTATTTAATAGAAAAATAAAAGGAAGATTATGTAAATTTCCTTATACTGACCTTGAGCATACCATAACCCATAATGGCACCTATCAATTGAGAAATAAGGTAAACTAAGGCCTGGGGAATAGTTTTTTTCCCAAGAACGACAGCTCCCACGGTGATTGCTGGATTAACATGAGCCTGACTGATGTGGCCGACACACTGTGGAAACAGAAAATCAAAGAGAAAATTTTTAATCACCGATAATATGCTAACTCTAATGTTGCGCTTTATTAACAAGCGCGTCGTAACAAATTGCGAATTACCGTGGTACGGATATAAATTACGAAGCGAGGTAAATGAAAGCTAATGAAATGTATGCGCTATATAATATTAGAAAAATTGGAGTATTCGCTAACGAACCGCGGCACGATTTTACCATGTTTTGACGTAATTCTATTTTCGAATACGAGCGAAAGGCGACAAATAAAAAAGTACAAAAGAGATAAAATGCGCTTATAGTGTGCAATATTGAAAAATTCGTACGATATATATAATAAATAAATCGGCGATAATCTTAATCGGCGACACACATATAATGAAATAAATATCGACGAGTTTAATTTTTCATATTGGAAAAATATATCGTACTTCAATTATCGCTCTTTTATGAATAAATTATAAAAATAAATTTATTCATCTCTTTCTCTCTCTTAAACCGGTTCGAGCTTTGGTGTTGTTTACTCGGAAATTACTCGCGCAGAAATATCGCAAAAATCATGTTAGCCTTGTCGTATATAATTATCATTATTTATTTAGAATATTTTAAGCTTCGAATTTTAAAAATTACATGTCTTTTATTACATTATTTCTATTTATTTATTTTTATTTATTTTTATTATATTATATTATTTATTAATCTAATATAATATAATAAAAGACGTGCAATTTTTAATTTTATTATAGCATTACAATGATATATTAAATGTGTAATGATATTATGATAATGCGGAGAATGGGATATTATAAATAACCATAATAACATGGATAAATGGAATGTAATCGCGCGATTATGCTATAAATTTAATAACTGCGATATTACATAATTCTGTTGAGGTAATTCTTGAAGGAAAAGAAATTAAAAGAGAATCGCGCGCGTGCAAGAATAATGTCTGGTATTACATACAGTCGTGATTCGTGAAGTCGTAGTTTTTACCTAATTTTAAATGCACGCGAAGATAAGATAATAATATAGAGAGCGATTAGTTATGTGTTAACCGAAGACTTCCGACTACCTACTAACCTGGATTACCACCATAACCGCTAAACCGAAGGTTAGCGTTATCTGTAAATGAGGAGGCACGACGCCGAGGCTCGCTACACAACCCATGCATCCCACAAACACCAAGATGGATGTACCAATCAGTTCCGCTGCTCCAGCGACGAGAGTGCTCTTCAACGTATCCTCTCCTTCCACCCATCTTTTTAATCCTGGAAAGCATTTCTTCGATAGAGAAGAAATATTGTATATATCCTTTCCAATCACAAAATTGACTTATTTAAATTTTACACGAGGAATTAAGTATTTATTAATCGTTGCACACACATGTATAATTTTAATTCTCACTTTTTACTTAATTTTTACCTAAATTATTACCGAAATTTCACTTTAAGAAATATCGGAGTTGCTTCTCGAAATGAGCCATTATTTACGGATCATCTTTTGAAATGAAATTTTCGATTTTTTCTACTAGACAGGTGTCTTTACTAGCGACTTTACGACGCGATCGCGCGATAATGTCAAAGGATACGCGATTCTCGATGTCGTTACGTTACTTGCCTCTTGTCTTACGGCGATTCCGCCACATTTTGCCACACTATGTCGAAGAAACGTGCACAGTCTACGGCTGCCACCGATAGAATAACTTTCACGAAAGGCAGATACAACATCGCCATTCGCACAAGGTTGACGCATGTTATGCTATACTCAACATCGATGTACGATGCGTGTATTAATAATAACTCGACTGTCATTCGTTTTTTTAAACGAAGCTGTTCAATTTGCACTCACGCAAATATTTATTTTGCGCCGGGCGGAAGAGATAGATTAAATCCGATGATTACGCAGCAGGTTACGTAGCGTTTCGCATGAATTAGCTTTAAATATTACTGTGCGCTTCTCGAGAAATCTATTGTGGCTTTGAAGCAATTCAAGATTTCAAGAACTGTCCTAGGTAGCACACATATTCGTTTCAAAAACGTTTCACAAATGTTTCTTCGAAGTGTTTCATAACCGACTCTAGAAAACGTTTCTAATTAGTTAAAATCCTTAAAAAACGATAAGGAATATGTTTCTTTTCTGATAAAAAAACGTTTAAAATACGTTTTTTTATTCATTATATAATTTCATTCTCATGATTAAAATTTAAGTACGAGAAAAATAGTGCACCGTACCGGTAAACGAACGAAGTGATTACTGATTTTATAGTGAAATTTGACTTTCACTGATTATAATTAGTAAAATATAAGATAAAGTAATAAAAAATAAGCGTTTCTACTGGAAATCAATGAAATAAAACGTTTCTTATTAATGCTTTATGATTAAAAAATATTGGATACGTTTAAGAAACATATGTAAAACGAACATGTGCTACCTGGGATGCTTCTCTTGAAACAGGAAAATATTAAAATTTATGTTTTATATATATGTTAAATTTTCTGCGACTTTAGAAAAAATTACATTATAATTAATGAGATATAAAAACATAATTAAAAAAATATATATACACATATCATTTAAAAAATATGCTTTAATAAATTATGAATCTATGCCGCTATTGCACTAAAATTTTTTCATCGGCATTCCGTTTCTTTTTTATTCCGTCTCTTGAAACACGCACGTGGAAAATCGCTTTTTTAGTAGAGGAGGGTCTTCGCTAGATGATAGCCCATAAAAACCATTAATAAGAATGAGGAGGACATTCTTTCTTTTTACTTTTTCTTCACAGTTAGAGCAGCTGGCTCTTTTATCGCACGGTATACGACGCGATAAAAATTGGATGCATTTGCACGCTTTATGGTATCATTATAATTTAGCTATGATTAACCTTGTTAAGATGATATGTTTTGATTAAAATTGCATCTCTGGCAATCATATGCTTAACATAGTTGCATTAATATTGGCCTTTCAATTTAATGAAAAATAGTGTAAATTATCGTAATTTTTATGAACATTTTGTCGAATATCGATGCAAACATAAATAGAGCACTAAATTAAAATGTGGATCGAATATTTTAGAGTTATATGTATATTTCTCTTCTCTGACCCATATTTTGGTCAGAAAAGAAACTTTTTGACAGGACTGTCCTCTCGTGCAGAGTGAAAGTAACTATCAACAGTGGTGTCTATATTTCGCGATTAACAAAAATCATTTTATAAATGGCAAATTTACTAATCGATTGATACATTTAAACTATCAGTGATGAATGTGATGAAGAATTCATAAAGATTTATATTTATATCCATTGGATTATTGGACTTATCGCTTAATTTATTTCGCTATATCGATGCGACATCTGGTAATAATAGTGTAGAAATAATCGCAAAAGATTTCAATTGCAAAATAGATATGACTTTCGTGTGAAGCTATATTTTTATCTCAGTTTTATTAAAAGCACAAACTATAAATATATTGCGAGAACGGAATATTTCAAAATTGCAACATGAAAACAAGAGTGTTTATCCCGACTGCAACTGAATCTTTTATGCTGCATTCTTGTAAAGAGCGTTCTATAAATATTGTAGGAGCATAAATTATACCAACAATTCTCTGTGTAAAACATTAACAAATGTATTGATTTTCTCACTGTAAAAAGGAAAATACGGCGACTTGTTTGTTCACGCGATCTTTCTAATTCTCCGGCTAAATAATAAAAAAGCAAATAATATTTTTCGCTAATAGTCTTCTAATATTTTCTGATCGATAAGCTTGACAATTAGCAATTATCTTATCTAAAAGATATTCTATATCATATCATATGTATTAAAAATATTTTGGTTTCTTATCACTTATATAATTATAATTATATAATTATATATGTTGATTGCACTTATATAATTATATACTTATGTAATTATATATGATTACATTGTACATGATCAAATCTAGACAATATTGAATGCTACATTTTATATCCGCTAATCCTATATCTAAAATCGTTATTGTGTCGTGTGTTATTCGCGAATACATTTTGCCCAACATGGGTCACTGGTCAACGATAAAATATTTGAGCTTTATCGTGGATATTGTGAAAGACAGGAAAGGATTTAGCAGTCGACAACTTCACTTTCAGAATCTGTCGATAATACTTATCCGGTGATAGCGAATGAATATCGCGCGTGATAAGAGCAGACAAATATATATTTTTAAAGAAAAAGCTACTGCTTATATAATATTTCAAGACCGTTATATTTTTATATTACGATAGAAACATTATCTGTTCGCGATAAAATATATTTGCGGTGCATCAAAGTATCGCATAATTTCATTGAATTAATCGCATGCAATTTGCATGCTTAATAGTCTTCGACTGTTATAAATTTCCATGAAATTCTTGACATTGATTATTTGATTTTATAATTTTTCGCTCTAAGCGGAAACGCCATTGCATTCTTCTCTTCTATTATACTTGATTTATTATCGATAGATTTGCGAATTCTAACAAAGAGATTAGACATTATAGCAACTGTGCAATTATTGCTATCAAAGAATGAATTCATAGAAGAGTTTATTAATTTGTTACATCAAATTGATTTTATTCGTGATTTCAATTGCTCTTACTTCTTACTAGATGAGTAATTTGCGGTCGAATCGTATTTATGATTCTAAAAATTACCGCAATCTGCAATTGGATACATCGATGCGCTACACGTAATCGCGACTCGAGTGAATCATTAAAATTATGTGATAATTTTAACCTGCCACGTAAATATATGTCGATGAATCAAATCCCGGCTGCCGCGAGTCGATCGTTAACATTGACAGCTTGAAACTTGTCTAAGGAAGATGGATGGGACGCGCAAGAAGAAGCTGCAACTTCTTCGTCTCGACACATTTGTTGCGCTCGCCGCTAATCGTCGTTCGATCATTCGCCCGCAATGGGCTAACGAAGCTTTAATCTACGATCTGCATACAATCGGCTAATTTTGGCGGGAGCGCTGCCAGGAGATTACGTAGCAATTAGCCGGTATAATCTGCCTATTAGACCGATAAACGCGCGCGAGCGTAAGTTAAACGTTAGCCAACGCAAATTGACTAATGATCCGTACTGACAATAAGTCGGCGTAATTTCTTTGTCCATCTGAAGACCGCGAGGATCGATTCTTATTCATTCATTGAGTCCTATTTTCGCTTACAAACAATTCTTTTTTTCCGATTTTGAATGCAGAAAACTCGCGTTTTTTTAAGTCTCGTCTTTTCAAAGATACGCCAATTTAAAAGATTTTAGTCTAAGAGATGCAAGAATTGTTAAAATTTCACTCGTGATACTTTCATGAATGAAAATTTACATATTTTGAGATAGACATATTTGAAGAAAGGATTGAACATGTGTAATTTTGTCATATCAAGAATTGACACAGTTTTAGTGAATTGGATCTGTACACGAATTGTACGCTTTGAGTCAACATTTTGTAGATTTATTTTTCTTTTGCACATTTATTTTGTATGGAAAATCTATTCTAATTAGCCTCGATATATTACTCGCTCTTTTTATCGTGGACGATAATATATTTCTGTACAACTTATACATGTTTTTTTGAATATTGACGTCACTGCTTTATACAATAATAACAACCAAGTAATAAAGTTTGCAATTGGCATCGTATCACGATGCATATTTGTGAGATCTAAACTGATGAATAACAAGAATGTAAAAGTCATCTTTTAACCTCCAACGATAAGCGAGTTTTTTTCGTTTCCGTTAGAGGAAGTAAAAATCTACTTTATGACAGAAGAAAAACTTGTTTAATTAGCTTACGCTGATATTATGCAATTATCACATCAAGCTACTGCTAACGTACAGGTTGCAACAAAAGTTTATTAGAAAGAATATTAAATATCAAAAATTATATAAATATTATGAAAAAAATATTTATATCTTTTAATTTGTTTCGCCAATTTGTATCGCTCATTTTCCTTGACATAATTTTGTTTCGTGAGATTAATTTTTATTTTTTCAACTAGTATAATAATGAATAAATACAACCAGGACGAATAATTTTTCCGGTCTCGCTTGTCATCTTGCGAAATTTATATCCACACAATTCTCGTTTTGCATCGATACCAATAATTGTACGACGCGTTGCATTTCGGAAGATATATGTGTCATAAAAAAAAAAGTTTTCTCTTTGCCAAGCGTAATTAATGCTGATCGATAATTAATGCGTTCTCATTAATTATCGATCAGCGTTTACTTAGCAGAATTGAGATAACCGTGGAGCAATTCTATAAACTTGTGTATATATCGCAATATTGAGACTGAGTTTGTTTTCACACACTAAGACGATAAAGTCCATTACGAGCGATGAGTCGAAAGTCTAATCGCAACAACCGTTGAACAAACATATTCTCGTAAAATGATCTTTCCCTGTTGAAATATGTTGGATAAATATGTAAATGAAGTCTCTGCAAATGTAATGTACGATATCGACGAAATTTTATTTGCGTATACGTAGATCCGAATCGGAAATTAAAGTTTATAAAAAATTTTATCACATCAGAAAACATTAATTATCGCGCGATAGAACTTAATAATACAATTTTAATTTTATCTGCCAAATTTTTATTGCTAATGTCATAAGTGCTGGTAATCTTTTAGATATATTAAAGAGGCGTAAAATATTATTATTATACTTAGAACGATAAGACAAGTTTTTATCACGGTAATAAAAATATCTAAAGTATATTTTTAATAAATGTATATATATATATATATATATATATATATATATATTATGTTTGCATTAATACATAGATATATATTAGCTTTTTACATTTTTTACATTTTTCATTTGCATTTTTCCTAAGCTAAGATAATCAATATTGTGTTGCAATTTTAACGTTTATTTACTAAATGGTAGCGCAAATAAGATTTTATTATCAAAATCGTTATAAAATCGAGATTATATCTCGTTCAATATTAACACATGGTTGCCAATAAGTTCAAATTGCCAGTCAAAGAGAATGTTACCATTGGAACTACAATCTTATCTCGGATGAGCAGATAAATACACGTTATGTATCACTATAATGTATCATTTAATAAGGCGCATAAGTGGGCGAGCGTGAAAAATTGTATCTTGAGATACAATAGGTAGGAAAACCCGACGCGTAAGCAATCTGTTACTCATATCGACAAAACAATCTCTCACTGCTCGTCGATAAAAATACCTTAGTCGGAACGAATGAAGAAGAAATCCTTGAAACTGTACATCGCAATTTCGTGACGAAATATTCCTAGATTTGAATAGAAATGTATATTCATATCTAAATTTCAGAAATTACTCTACTATATTTTTCGTAAAGGATTTTTAGGAATTTTTTATCGTAATATCCCACAGATAAAATTAGAACTTAATGTTAAATAAAAGCAAATCGAAGAAATTCGTGACGCGAGCAATTGGATAGAATTTGAGAAAGATGACATAGCTTTTGAATATATTATAATTCCATCAATTAATGATGGAAATATGGTAACAACTTAAATATTATTTGAATTAAATTTGATTCCACGTATGTACACCAAATCTTAAAGATTAATCAACATTTGTCACGTAACCAACATAATTGCGTGAAGACAAGAATTGTCGTGCAATAGGTCTTGTCTGCTGCAACATACGATTATGTTATCATGAATCGTGTTACAACAAATTATATCTAATATAGCATGCATGCGGAATATTTTGCGATTACAACATAAACTATTGTTAATCACATAAAATTATATTTTTGATAATATTTAATTAGTGTGCATTTATTTTAATCGTTAAATTTAAAAGTTTTTTTAAATAAACGAGAAATATTAAAAAAAGATGTAAATATTTATAAATACACATACATATTTTCAAATTTAAAAATATAAAATATATTTAAAATATAAAATAAATGTAAAAATATAAATATAAAATTTATAATACAGAGAGAAAAAGACAGAAAAACTAAATAACTGCATTGATAAATTATCTTGAATTAAAAATGATATATATTCTTTATATAATAAATGGAAAAGTTTGTTGTTGCTGACTATGTTAAAAAATGCACTTTGATCATCGTATGACTCTCTTCTTTCGTTAAATTAAGCGATAGCGAGAGTAGCAATGACATTACATTACGTGGAATGAATCGCAAAGAGCTTCACAATAATTTGACATTATTTTTGTAATAATATAATACATATTGTTTTTTTGATTGTTTAATTGAGTTTTTCCGTTTCACTTACTTTTCTATAAATTTTTCAACATAATTAAATAAAGAAATTTAGTTTTTATATTAATTTAGTGTTTTTTATGATGTATCATCATAGTGTAAAAATAAATTGAATTTTAATTCTATTAAATCGAAAGTTGAAGGTGAAGATTATATCAGTATCTGGATTAAGGTCGACGGCCCCATGTTATGGAATAACTACTCAAGAACAGCGACATATTATTTCCACTTCTATTGACAATCACATTGTTATGTCACAAAGAAGCAAGTTTTTGCACGCAATCTAATACAGAATTCATTTCGAAATGGCTGATTGCAATAATGCATATAAATAGCTTTATTTACAGCTTTTGTCTTATCATTCTCTTATAATTCGTTGAATTATTTATACGTTAAATTTATTAACTCATCATATTGAAATTTAAATTTCTTCAACTTAAATATAATTCTTTGTTTTACTTATTTCACATAAAAAATGTACGATATATTAAAGATTGATAATTAAATTTTAAATAAATATGATAAATAGCAGTGATATTGAGATTGATTTAGAAGCGAATATCATTTCGACACCTTGTGTGTTTCAAGACCTTTTGTGTTTTGAGACCTTTCATAAATATGTTATTTTCATAAGTTATTCAGACCTTGAGTCTTCGATATAGACTGCGTCACATTTTCATTCTAAATAATAAACGTTCTCGAAAGTACAATTTTGGAAATTAAGATTTATTCAATAAGAAAAATATAATAAATTTAGTTAGCTTTTATAAGTAATAATTGGTAGAAAAATATTATGATCGAAAAAAACGAAACAAGATCTAAATAAAAATTTATATCGATCGAGTAGATGTTAATACACTTTCTAAATATGTTATTTTTAAGATCCCTAACAATGTTGCGCGCATAAGATACCACGAGAAAGTATACCGGCTCCGGCTTAGAAATCTATTAATTCAACAATTAATTATACTTATTCCACTATCATCGCAAAGTGACATTTCTCTGATGAAAAGAGAGATGAGATTGTAGTGAAGGTTTCTTACTTGCGCTAAAATCGTTCACCGACATGATGGAGCGTCTCTCGAGCGGAGAGTGTCACAACACTACAAACACAAATGTCCCGGACAGACAGGTCTCAACACAAAGCGAGAAAGAAAGAGAGACACCCGCACACTCCGTCAGCCGGCTTCTGTGTGAGCCGCGAATACGATCGTAACTTCATTCTATCGTGCGAAGAAGACACGTGGTTTCTGCTCGCGTGATGTAACAACGCGACTGCACGCCCCATCATCGCTTGCTATTCGTCCGTGTATTAAAATTAGGCGGGGATGTTAATTTTAGAACAAGGGGCTCCCACGGAAATAACGACGGTACTGTAAATCGAGTATGTTTGTCAGCAATGGCTGACGACGGTTATCAAAGTCAGTCTTTCATTATCTCTCTCTATTTTTCTTATATTATATACCGGCTATTTTATCCGACATTTATACTTTTAAGTAGAATCTCTAATGTACGTTAGATCGAGATTAAGAAATTTTTTTGCATCGCGAACAATGCTAGGAAGTAATTTTCTGTGTAATTAAGTTTTTAGTCTTTATCGTTGTTTACGTAACAATCACGAAAAAACCCGGGAATCCATGGGACCATCTAACAAATTGAGAAACAATGACTAAGTTGCTTAATAATGTCATTTGTAATGTACCTGTCTTATTTGAGTCGTTTCATTATATTTTTTTTTACCTTTTGATCATTTTTTTATTTTCTTTTATCTTAATTTCCCGTCTGATAAATCGTGTAAATTTTTTAAAATTGGAATTACATGTACCTTGCAATGTCTATTTCAGAATATCGATTGCGAAAACTCGAAGGACTCTTTTGGAATCGAATATTTATGACGTAATATATTTCGCAACAATGCGCGTTTTACTCTTTCATATATGATCACCGCTATTTTTATATCTTTCTATCGTAGTACGCCTCCAAACCGTCTGTATTTTCAAGATTTAATTATATATGACCGCTATATGTTTTTTATAACAGATTAAGATTTAGACTCGACTAAAGACAAGCCTAAAAAGATTTTATCCTTAAGATTTAGACATCGATAAATATCGACGTATTTTCTAGGCAAAAGCAAAATTATCAGTAAATATTGAATTTTTAATAGTTTTTTTATTCCAAATCATTACAATTTAAATATAAGATATTATTTTTTATATAAACCCATATATAAATATCGATAGTAAATTTAAACTTTCTGCAAGTAAATTGTACATAAAAAAATGAGTATTTATTGTCACTTTTAGCCACTTGGAAATATCTGCAAAACACACGCGTTTCAAGAATTTCTAAAACATGATAGCTATGATAATCTTTTTTGTTGAATATAAATATTTGCGAAAAAATACATAGAAAGGTAAGAAAAAATATATAGAAAAGAAGAAAAATCACAATTCGTCAAAACACGTAGAATTTATTTGAAGCCACATTTTATTATTACAATTGAAAATTACTTACATAAATACACATTGCAATAATGTAATTCGGAATTCGATCTTATCCTTCGCCGATCGTTCGCGCGCAAAATATAAGGCCTTAAGGCTTGCGAAATTCCAGGAAATCTACTATGCGATTTCGCTCTTAAAGTTATCTTATTGTTATCTACAGAAGAAGGGATATATATATATATGAAACGAGGAGGTCCGGACGTGTATCTTGTATTTACATATACATTAAGTTGCAGAACGTAATTGCAATCGCGGTTATACATACGCACATACACACACACACACCCACATACATACATAGACACGCACGCACGCACAGACATGTAGATCGAATATACAATTAAAACTTTGGCGCGACCGACGGCGATGGAGGCAATTTCCCGAATTCGCCGAGACTAATTCCGTTATTTCGAATTTCGTCGCAGCAGGGATAAGAGATGTCGGCCTTAACGAGCTGCATCGCGTACGTGTACGATATAATGGCGGCGAATTTGGTGGAATTGCGGAGCGAGCGAACCGGGTCTGCATACAACCCATAAATTCGCTAATAATTAATAAAAAGCGCGGCGAAGCGGCCGCTGTGGCGTAATGCATGCGAGAGAGCTTGCCACGAACAAAAACAAAAAAAAAAGAGAGGAACGGGAGTGCGAGAGAATTAGTATCTTAAATTATATGCCACTAGGCAAGACGAAATCACACGCCATTACGGTGCTTCGCTATATGTTTACAACGACATAGAGCGATTATCTTCAAAAGTGCTGGAGATGTAAAAACTACATAGCAAAAGGATATAAATATTCATATATGCGTCATGGCCGAGCGGTATGTCAAACGAATGCTACAGGCGTAAATATTCAATACATAACGCTAGTTATTTATTCTTGAGAAAAATTCTACAAAAATTCGCTCATTTATAGTAGTACGTGTGTACTCGATCTGTATTTTTTTTCATTCTGAAATAACATTTTTAGAATACACAATTTATCATTTATATTTTGCATTTCATGTTTAAAATGCATTTCCATGTTTCGCTCGGCCACGATGCTATGAATCATATAAATAACAAATAATGTGATGACAAAAATGCACCGAAAATTCTATATCTATTGCATAAAAGCAAATGCGAAACGTCAAAGCGCCTTATTACATCGAATATTTCTGTACAAAAATAATTCGTCAGATTACAATCTACAACGAAGAAGTCGCGTATTTTTGATCCTTTGGGTTACAAGATTTTCGAGTGAGATGTTTCCAACGAGTATCCTGAAAGCAAAAATCCGTAAAGTTCGAAGCCTGTCCGATCCGCTTCTATCGTGCCCGCAAGAGTTTCCGCCGCAACTTTTGCAACGTCCTCTTTTTCAACCGAGGAGGAAAATACCAGCGCGATTCAGGATTTCTCGTTCAATTTGTGAATCACCGACAGCCGGAATACAATTTCGTTCGCTGAAAGAGAAAGCGCACGATATATAAGCTTCGTAGATTCGTAGATTATTTGATAAAAGTGACGTTATACATCGCACGAAAATATCCAGCAGATATTTGAATTGAGGCCGAATGAACAAAGATAGAAAAAAAACGGAAAAAAATTCTTTGGAAACATGCCAAGCTCGCGGACATTGATGAGATTTTTTTACAAGAAGGACAACACGATAACTTTTCACTTTCGTCAAATAATTTTTTCGAATAAAAGTGATTCTCTTATAAAAGGTTGTTTAATGTTATTTTTTAGATAATTATTTAATATATATAAAAATTTGAGATTATAAGTTTCTTTAACGGAATTTATTTAACATTATTAGCATGCAAAGCGCACGTTTTTGTGGAAAAAATTGACTTTTACTTTAATTATGATTTTGTACCATTATGAGCGCTCTCATAAACTTTTTAATAGCCGTAGGAAAATAATGCGAGATTTAATAAATTTAGAGAAGAACGTACGTGTGATTCCATTTACGTCTCGATGCCGTTGAAAGTTTCCATGTCATGCATGGCATCATCCTGATTTTTCGTCTTGGGCATGAATAAGCATCGATAGATCAGGGCCGAGATTATGGCGCCTCCGATCGGTCCCAGCCAGTATACCCAATGATTTTCAAAGTCATTATTCCAGACCGCTGGTCCGAATGATCTGGCGGGGTTGAGACTACAGCCAGTGTAAGGGGCAAAAGCCAAAGCAAGCATGGTGATGCAGAAGCCGAATTTTATCGCTATCGTCTCGGTGTTTTTCGCGTTTCGCGAATCCCAAACTGCGCAGGCGAAGAAGACAAATACCCCCGTGGCTAAAGCTTCGACTGCGACTCCATGAGCGGGATGTAAGTGTGAATCAATTCTCGTCACACAGAAGGATTCGTTTGGCTTTGAGTATAATAAATCTTGCGGCGTTGTCATCTGTAATTAATATATTAAAAAAAGAGTAAAAAATATTAATATTATGGCGAATACTAAGTTGATCAATGTTTTTCAAAAGCTATCGTGAAGTGCGATCTATGAAACATTTAATTTATTTATTGAAAGATTAAGCAATCACGAGCACATGTAGGTAATTTTTAGGAACAAACTAAAGAGAGGGTTTAAGTAATTTTAATATTGTAACTCTATTGTAACATAATTTTTACTTATAACGCGTTATAAAAGCACGAATATACATCGATATTAATATCGATATAATTATCTTATAATTCGAATGTCTTTCGTAATCTTAAAGTAAATGAATATATGCATATTTATTGACCTTTAATAAACCGTAACCTATCAGGCTACCCAAACATTGTGCAATGATGTAGAATCCGGCCATCAGGAGAGACGTATTGCCGAGAATTACAGTAGCGGCTGTAATAGCTGGATTAACATGAGCGCCGCTGATATGGCCAAAACACTGAAAAAAGAGAGCAAACAAGCAGCATTTAACCGACGATAAGATTCGATAACATTGCATCTCGGCGCCCGACTTAATGCTAGTTTTATATATTTTTGTCAGATATATTTTCTTCGCAAGATATATTATTAAAAGCAGGAGAGATCGAAATATATAAAATATATAAAATATATGAACAAATAAAAAATAATATAAATGCTGCAATCGTATTATTCTTAAGATTAATACGCGTTAATGGTCAATCTAAATCACGTAAATAATTTATACCTGTACTGCGATCATGACAGCAAAACCGAAAGCGAGGCCGATTTGTAAAGGTGTCGGCGTCGTACCTAAACTGCCCACGCATGCTGTGCATCCCAGAAAGACCAGGAGTGCCGTTCCGATTAATTCTGCCAGAACGGCCAGCAACTTGTCCCATAACGTGCTGCCTTCCTCCACCTTCTTCAACCCTGAATTATATATAGACATTTCCATCTTTAACATATCATCAATTTATATGCGGTATCAACGCGTTGCTGCTTTTTATCCGTTGCCGTGATAAATCTCTCTAGACGTTTGTCATACATTTTTAACATCGTGTATAACGAAGGCGAAGGAAGAAGAGAGAAAGCAAACTTGTACGAGCATTTCGTGATTAACTTAAATGCTAAATCTTTATTTATTTAATATTTATATCGTTCACATAAATACATATAATAAAAAAATTCCTATAAGTAATAACAGTTTATTAATTTACAATACATGGTATATTATAGTAGTTTATAACTTACAATATATGATTATACGAAATATAAAATTTGAAAATGGCGTTTTATGGAGCAGGAAAAGTAAAGCGCGTTACGTGAATAATTTATAAAATTATCGCGACGAAGATAAAACGCAGCTTTACGTTATCATTTTGTCGAGAAGGCCACTCGAGATTGCTGTCACTCTCGTACTTTTATGAAAAGGTATGAAAATTTGCGCTCTCATATCTTTACCGATTTTCAGTATTTAATTAAAAAGCGATTATCATGCACGAACGAACAGAGCAAAGTATACATTTTTAGTTCTGCGCATTAAACGAATCAAAGTCAGCCAGATTAAATGAATATAATTGAGAAAAATCAAGAGGCTCAAGGTGTGCTCCCGTTGAATGTAGTCGTAACGATGCTCGCTTTGTTTTCAAAGATAATGTGTATATAATGACGACATACGTGCACACATGTATTTAAATTGTCATCGCTTGTGATTTATGCACGAAGATTTCCGGAATCCTTAGTGTAAGAGAGAAAAAAAAGATAATGAGAGCTGATTCAACAGACTCTACATCTTTTTTTTTTAAAGATTCCGTAAAACATATTAAAGCCAAAGATTATGCAAGATTATGCTAATTTGTTAATGTCGTATTTGAAAACTTGAAAGGAATACTAGAATATCATCATCCTTTCGAAATTGTTCAGAAAAAAAGATCAGTTTTCCTTTTTATATCTGCAATTTACGACGTTTTTATATCAGAATTTTATTCATGGATATATATGTTAAAAGATGATTGTTCTTCGATGAATTTCAAAAGTAAAATGTGCTCGGTACAGAAGTGTTTTTAGATCGACAGGCAGGATAAACTTGGACTGTTACTTTGTTGTAAACTTTCGAGTATAGAAACTTTGTTCGCTCTACGTCGAATATGATTACCATCGGTATAAACCTAAGATAGAGGAGGGAGGCAACATTGAATTTACATGAAAGCACATCGGTGAAGTTATGCACATCGTAAGTCGAGCGGCTCTAGCGTTGTTAAGGATGCTGGACTTCGATAAGTATTTTCCATTCTTGAATATCGAAGCACTTTGCATTCCTTCTTTTTGACAGGATGGCATAGTTTCCTTCCATGTATATATCCGCATTAAATTTTCTCGATGTAATTCTCGCGAAAGCTCGCTCTATAAAATTTTCACGAGAGTGCTTGTAAAATTTTTGCCCGAGGCCGAAAGTTGAAGCAAATTACAACTAAATTAAACTATGTCCTTTGAACTTAACTATCGTAATGCCCATTATTTTCGCATTACTTTACTACGCAACTTTCATTTATTTCATTCTACATAATTTACTCCAACTTTGAAATACAAAAATTAAGTTATATCCATAGAAAATGAATTCAATTCTCTCTTTCTCTTTCTTTCCCACTTTCCATCTATTTATATCTTTCTGCGCGCAATATTATAATGATATATGTTACAATGATAACGATATATGAAATATAAGATAAAAATTAAATATAAGATAAAATATTAAATGATTTGAACAAATTTATAAATGATAAGGATATATGAAATATGTCCTTATCATTTATATATTTGTTCAAATCATTTAATATATTTATCTCATATTGAGTAATGCAATCTCGAGTCAATATTTAGTATTTCAGACGCCAGCGAGAATGACGACTAAGTAATCAGTGCTGTCAAAGATCATGGCTTTGTGACATTTCTTCTCGTTCTATGCAGCATTGATAAAATTTTGCAATTATTTATCGGAATATTATTAACATGATGAATAAGAATCGTTGAAAATATTAAATTATGAATTTTATTATTGAACATATTTCATTGATCGCACAGTTGATAATTCATTCAATATAATGCGTAATAATAAATGATTTAGTTGTATATTATATTATATTTATGCGAAAATTATTTTACATTTTTTTCCGATACTTTTCATTTCGCACAATTTCCATCTTGGCTTATTGTCGACATAGAAAAAAGATAAATCAATTAAATAATTGTATTTTTTTACTTTGTTTTATAATTAATTTGATTAGAATTGTTTTGAAACTTTATTCTCCATGCTACTGCGTATAATATAAAATTATTTAATCTTTAATCGGTTCAGGCGAGAAGAAAACCAATATTAACTCTTTATCTACTATATGTGAATCAATTTCATTGAAATATATACTTGCATTTTTATCATTAGGCAGATTAGCTATAATTAATTTGCATAACAGTAATCTCCACTATGTTACTATCTTCAAAAATATTTAAAATTGACGCAAAAATGAAAATTATTACTACAATATAACACTTTCTCATGCATAATTATTATATTTCAAAAATTGCCTTTTTCACAGAATTAAAAAAAAAAAGAGTTAAGTAAAGAAATGCGTAAAGTTGCGATAAAATATACAAACTGTTATCCTGCTTTGAGACACAAATAAAATGTGCATAAATTTGTACTTGTTGCGCGTTACATTTGCACAATTCGCGTTCCCCGAATGAATCATTGAAACGCGCTCTCCCGATTTTCATTCATACGATATTCATAACTTTACGCATGCCAATATCCTTTGGCTGTAATCACGTTTATACATTTACATATGCGTTCGCGCTTTTGAGCTACGCATAGAGATGCCAGAGCACGTTTACTCTAGAATTACGATCGAGTCGTCGTGATTAACCGTGTGTCGCACGGATATAATTAGAAGCTAGCACGTGTCACGTATGGTTTCCATTAGCGTACAAGCTTAGGGTGACATAGAGCGAGACTGATAGCGATCAGTCATCGACATTCGCGGATTAACTGGATTTCGATACGATGACGGGAACGCAAAGCGACGTACTCGAAGCCGTTCAAAGTCGTGTGTTTATCTTCTCAAAGGCGGACATTCTCCATTCCCGGACATCATATCGATTGCGAAAGTATATAACAAGCATGTAATAAGTACTTGATGTATATTTGATATGTTATAAGTATTTGACGACACGAGGTACATAAAAGTCGAGAGCGGATCAGATATGAGTTGCCATTTTGAAAGTAAAAGCTATTACGAAGGTAATTATTGCGAAACCTAATTATCTAATTCTAATAATTAGGGAAAAATGAAAATTGCACGTCACGCCACAAAATAATTATGCTTGAAAATTTATAGAAAATTTATAGAAGGACATTTTTATGACACAAAGAGATACCGTATATGCGTATTCTTTTTTTTACATTTGATGGGTGATAAATATTATCAGATAAATTGTACGAAAAAATTTCACATTTTCTATTCATTCCTTTTTTTAATTATTCGTTCAAGATTTTGAAAGAAAATAATTCGACGGTTTCGTGAAACCCGGCCGCAGGACAACTAATCGACGAAAAGAAATTGGAACGCGTGTACGGCTTGAGCTCTCTTAACATTTCGTTAATTTATCGCCGCTTTAATGATCCGGTGGTCGTAAACACGACAAAGTACTGGCGGAATAAAGTGTAGAAAGCCATTGCGCGCGTGTTGTGCATTAGGGCCAAGTGGGTAAAACGCATGCGAGACTGCGCCGAAACACGGCACGTATGTATAACGCAGGATTCAAAAAAAAAAAAAAGGAAAGGATCTTACATCTTCACTGTCGAGATGCGCACTTTCCAAGTTGCGCGTAACTTGAACGCGATATCTCTAATTAAAAAAATCAAAGCTCAGGAGAACGGAGGCTGCGGATAATTAGCAAGAAAGTGCCGGAGCGTAATTGCAGACCGAGAAAGTAATCGACGATTATAATTGCCGAGTGAAATGTCTCGTATTTCTTTATATGTATAATATAATCCTTTGCCCTCGCGATAACTTTTTCTTTTTCTTTTTTTTCATTTCCTTTCGTTCTTTTCTTTCTATTCATGCGATCTATCGAGGAGAAAGGAGAGGGAGGAGTTCGGATCGAGAAAGCGATGCTCCTCGTCGATGCACTTTCATTGATGCACCATCTATAGTATCCCGCAAACAAATCTGAATTAATGCCCATCGCTTTTAACGTCTTTCTCTCTCTCTTTGGAAAATTCCCATCGATATATACCGACCACGGCACGTATACCAGCTATCGATAGCGTATGAAAAGATAACAGGAATCTATCGTATCTATCGTATATGATTCGTGACTGAATTGATAAAGTAGCAAAACGTATTTCGCGCGTGTATATTGAAATATCCCGCGTATTTTTATATTATTTTTATACGAATCACTCGTAATATATATTGCCAAAGGTAATATATATTAAGGTTCGGATTACATATCAAAAGTAAAACGATATATTTAATTAATTTGATAACGATAATATTGAAATTCGTTGTAATTTAATAATCAATCATCGAGCTATCATCATTACTACGTGAATAATAAACTAATTATTATGGTGGAATTTTTTTATTGAATTACAACCGCAGGTTTACAAAGAAGCACGTTGCACGTGAATTTAAGTACGAAAATTTCTGTAATTAGCGAATCGCTTAATTTTTTGCAATTTGTGGTTAATTTTCCGCGCAATGCGCTTCATAACTAGATAGCGTACGCGAAAAAGGCAATTTACTTCGACAATTTAGTACGAGAAAGGTATTCTCTCTTTCTCTCGGTATGCCGCGAATTTCAACGATCCCTAATAACGACGATGTACACGGTGAAATTTCCATAAATCAGCTGCACCGAAAGGGTAGAAA